CCCGCCTTCCTCCGACTTACCGAAGATATATATATATATATATATATATATGTATGTATATATATTGTTATTGTTCAAACTGAAATTTGGCACAATGATGTTTCTCTTATTTTATGCAGAGAAATATCTACCCAAAGATTGATTCTTCTTAAAGCCACATCAATGTAGCATTGAGCGAGGGGAGGTTGGGAGAAGAGATCATGATCAACTTTGACTTGGATTTTGAACGGATCTAGATGGAATATGAAGAGCCTTTGTTAAATGACGTGGGCTAAGAAGAGATATACAACTCTTCTAAAAGCTGATGATAAAAGGGTCTAATCTATAATTTTGTAAAATTGAGGTATATCCCTGTAAATGGGGGGACTATACCAAGAATAAATGTTACACATATGTCACGCATTCCTATGATTCTTAACTACAGACTCTTTCTTGATTCTCTTTGCACAATTTACTATATGTTGGATGTATTTCTCGTATTCTTTTGAATTCAACAATATATTAATGTACACACACACCCACAAGATAGAATGTACATATAATTTGAATTTTAGGAGTTAGATACATAAATCATAAAAATTGAGTGGTATATTTGTAAATTCTTCTTAAAATTTGCATAAGAAATATACTTCTTTTAATTTTAGTTTTAGAAATATTTTTATGAAATATTTAATTCTTTAATTTATGACAAGTGTTAGATATGCATGTTCTGCACGTCCTGGATTTTTTAAATTGATATTTAAGTCAGACAATTCTTTGCCGTATTTGACACGTGAAAGCTTTATCTGTGTTTGATACGCGTCGGACACTGCTAACTCCTTAATTAGAATTATTTGTGTATCATAAGTATTCAGACGTAGTCAGTTTCAATCATATGTCTGCTTTGACGGCCGTGAAGAGGATGCAAGCGATGGAGATACTTGGGTTTGTAGTCTTTTGAAGCAGTAAAGTTCCTTGGAGATCCCATCATCGGAGTCAGCGGGGTGAGTAAGGCATTGATGGGGTTGTGTTGGTCATCAGAGGTGAAGAAGGCATCAATAAGATTAGGAACTAGCAAACAAGCATCGAAATCATAGATGGTAGAAACAGAGACAACGACATGATGCAGGTATATTTAATGAGTCGATAAGTTTTGTGTGATAATTGCTATAGTAAAGATTAAGATGTTAAATACAACAAAAACTATAAAATTGGGTGATATGCATGTAAATTTCCCTTAGGGCTTAAACAACTCAAGCTTGAGCTGAGTTCAGGTTTGACACACTTGAAATCAATCATGTTCGAAAATGTCCCATGTTAGAGATTACAGTGAAGATTGTGTTCGTGATCAACCTGATTTATATATTCTTATTCGTGTTCGGCTCATTTTCGACATGAAACTTGCTCATTCAAATTATTTAAAAATAATGATGTAAGAAGTTAAATTTGAATATCTATCATTTCTATATATTAAAAAGTACAAAATTATATGGCCATACAAGTGTGATAATTTAAATTTAAAAATAAATATATATAGTATAACTTCTTTTATTTCGGGTTCTACGTGTTTATTGCAGTTCGGGTGGCTTATTTAAGTGGAGATTCAAATAAGCAATTTTCCGAACAGCAAGTTATTTTTGACAGCCCTAATCCCCCTCGAGATTTTAGAGTATTAATCCTCAACATTGCCAGTTGCCCCCCATCTCCATCATCTCCTGCAAAGCCCTCCTTCTCTCCCAGCAAAACGATAATTCTCTTCCAAGAACAGAAACGAACAAATCAAACCGTGTGACCCAGGTTCTCAGTCGCCTTCCAGTCCCCCACCATTATATAATACTTGTAGGGTTTACCCTGCAACTATTGCGGCAGGGGTGCGGGGGTGCCGGGGGAGCCTCTTTTCCTCCACCATGGACGATTTCGAGCGCGCGATCGTGGTCATCTACGAATCCACTGGCGGAAGCGCAGAATCCAACCTCTTCTTGCAAGCCATTGAGTTCTGCGACCGCCTCAAAGCTGGCCCCCCTTCTACTCTCCTTCGCCTCTGCCTCGAGCACCTCCACCGTTGCAATCTCGTTCCAGTTCAATTCTGGTGCCTCCAGTCCCTCCACGACGTCATTCGCCTCTCCTACTCCTCCCTCGACGACCTCCCGCTCCTCCGTGCCTCGCTTTTGTCATTCTTATCTGATCTCTCCTTTCTTGCTTCTTCCCCGCCTTTCCTCAAGAACAAACTCGCGCAGGCACTTGCCGCACTTATCCGGCTCGAGTACCCTTCTCTTTGGCCTTCCCCTTTTCTCCATATTCTATCTCTTCTGCCTTCCCCTGCAGCAGTAGACATGTTCTCCCGCTTGCTTACTGCTCTTGATGACGATCTAATCAGCCAGGACTACCATCTTTCATCGGATGATGTCGCCGCTGCCACCCGAGTCAAGGACGCTATGCGCCTTCAGTGCATACCTCAGATCGCACGCGCTTGGTTTGACATCGCGTCACTCTACCGATCCTCCGATCCCGGCCTCGCCGCCTCAACTCTAGATACTATGCGTCGGTATGTTGTCTGGATCGACATTGGTCTTGTTGCTAACGATGTCTTCCTTCCCCTTCTATTTGACCTAATCCTCTCCCATATCACTCCGGAGCCTCTTCGTGCTGCGTCCGCGGGATGTGTTCTCGCGGTTGTGTCCAAGCGGATGGATCCTCATTCCAAGCTTAATCTTCTGCGATCGTTACAGCTGTACCGGGTTCTAGCTGAATCTGAGCTTGTGCAAAAGCTACCTGCGCTTGTTATTGGGTATGCTTCCGAGGCTTTGGATTGTTATAAGAGACTAGGTTCTGAAAACGAGGGCTCCTCTTCTGCGATGGAGATTTTGGAAGACGCGTTGCCTTCAGTTTTTTATGTAATGCAGAACTGCGAGGAGCTGGACGCAGGCAATGTGGTCGAGTTCCTCTCGGATTACATATCTACTATTGAAATGCCTTCACAAAAACAAATGGTTTACGTTGGTCGGATGCTGGAGGTGATTCATGGACAGATATGTTATGATCCTACTTTTAGAGAAAATCTGGATGTTCGTGACAAGATTGGTAAAGAACAGGAGGATCAGATGGCCGAGCACAGGAAGGACTTATTTGTGCTGTTCAGGAGTGTTTGCCGTGTAGCTCCGGATGTTACGCAGTTGTTTGTCCGCAGCTTGATTACTCGTGCGCTTTCCTCCTCGGATATGTCTGTAGAGGAAGTTGAAGCCGCTCTGGCATTGTTCTACCGATTAGGTGAGACGGTGAGTGAGGATGGGATGAAGACAGGCAGTGGATTGCTAAGGGAGATGGTGCCGTGTCTTCTGTCTGCCAAGTTTTCATGCCATTCTCATAGGTTGGTCGCTCTTGTATATTTGGAGACGATCACTAGGTATTTGAAGTTTGTACAGGAGAATCTACAGTATATACCCAATGTGCTTGCTGCCTTTTTGGACGAGAGAGGGGTACATCATCCAAATCTTAATGTGAGTAGAAGGGCTAGCTACCTGTTTATGAGAGCAGTGAAGCTACTGAAACCCAAGCTAGTGCCTTTCATTGATACGATTCTGCAAGTATTATTCCCTTTCTGTTTTTCCATTTACATTTTTTTTGTAGGAACGATTGCTTTTGCTTTATTGCGTGGCATTCATACTTTTTTATGGGTTTGTAATTAGTGGGACCATATCCAATAATTTCATTCTGCTGCAGAGTTTGCAAGGTGCCATCGTTCAATACACAAGTTCAGATTGGACATCTAAGGATCTCAAGTGTACTGGTTTTGAGGATGGCAGTCATGCATTTGAGGTATATTAGCTCCACATTTTAGTTTCTTACTGTGAATGTGCTCCTGAAAAAATGTAATTATTGTTGCGTTCAGCTTATATAAATTCTAATTGTTTTGCATCATCAAACAAAAATCGACAATGGTCTCTCAGGCAATTGGGATGTTGATTGGTGTGGAAGAAATTCCTCCAGAGAAGCAGTCAGAATACCTTGCAGCCCTGCTTAAACCTCTTTGTCAACAAGTAAGAGAGCTTCTGTGCTTGTTTGTCCTGAATGCTCTTCTTTCTGTCAATTTACCAAAATAAAATTAATCATTTCAAGGTTGAGATGCTACTCATGGATGCAAAAGTTCACGGGATTGAGGAATGTTCACCTAAAGTTATGAGAGCACAGCAGATTATTGTGGCTGTAAATGCTCTCAGCAAGGTCAGGTTCTATCTACTGTCAAATATAATCTTCTTATGAATTCACAAGAAAAAAAAGCATCCAGAACTTGATTCCTTATCATGGGAATTCTCTCATGCATACTAAGCTGATGTAGGTGATATTGGTAATTGGTTTTTGTTGAAGATTTTGACTCCATCTAGTAAATAGTTTTGTTCTAAATCTTCTTCATTTTTATTCTGCCAATTATACGGCAGTGCAATCGTTTTTAATACTTCTCATTGTTTGCTTATGGTCTAGGGCTTTAGTGAGCGGACTGTGACAGCTAGTCGCCCTGCAATTGGATTGATGTTCAGGCAGGCAAGAGGCCTCATATTCTTTATGAATTGTCACTTTACTATTTTCAACTTCAAGTTGTGTCCTATTTTGTTCAAAATTTATTTTTTACATTATTTATGGGTGAATGTGACTACTTTTTATCTCTTGATGGTTCAACATTAATTCCATAACATGACCTGCAATTCATGCTTATGTGGAAAACCCACCAGAACTATGACCTGCAATTCATGCTTATGTGGAAAACCCACCCTAACTATGACCTGTTGAGGATGTGGAGCCCTGTGCACTTCCTTCTTTCAATTCTTTTTCTCAAAAATAAAGATTGAATGTTTCTAACATTTGGTTTTTGAATTCTCAGACATTGGATATTCTTCTGCAACTACTGGTCACATTTCCAAACATAAAACCCTTACGCAATAAGGTATCAAGTGGATCTATATTTCTACCACAATCTACTTAATTTTGTTTGCCAATTTATATACAAAATATGCAGGTTACATCATATCTTCATCGCATGGTTGAACTATTGGGAACAGTGGTCTTGCCCTATCTTCCAATGGCATTTAAACAATTGCTTGTGGATAGTGAGGTATGATTTTATTTATTACATATACCTGTTTATATCTCTATTTTAAGTATGGTGAGGATCACTTCTTTGAATACTCTTCAAACCTAAGACATTTATGCCTATCACACAATTTGACACTGTCAAGAAGTTATATGCGGCAATCTATTATTATTTGAATGCATGGCTATTTGTGGCCGTATTCGAGTTTTCACAATAAACATTTTCTTGCCTTCACGCACCAACAACTGAAACAAAATGTATTTGTTTCAGCAAAGGCACATGCACCCCAGTGTAATCCTCAAATTTAATAAAATCCTCTGCAGTTCCGTGGACGTAGGCAACCCTCTCCCCTTCTCATTTTTGTCCTATTTTTTCCTATTATCTTGTTCTTTATATTAGCACACATTTGGCATGAAATCTTTTCTAGTATTTCCCTCTTCTAGCCATAATCATTTCTGAGTTAGCAGCTTAGACATTGCTGATACAAGAAACCCTTCAGATATTTCCTTACACTTCAATGACAGACTATTATTCTTTCATTTGTTTAGTTTACTTTCTTAGATGCGCCCCCTTTAAAACTCTAATCACCTTAATTTCTAGGATCTCTATATGCTTCCATGTGAGGCTTTTTGAAGCAAGACGAATAAAGGCCTCTCATAATATCAATTTTAAAAGACCAATATCATGACTATTAATGGTACTTTAATTTTATTTTAATTTATTTTTTCATGAGATTGAAAATCACTATATATTATTTCCAGGAAATATTTTAAATATTAATATTTATTTTGGAATTATATAAATTAGCCTAAATTGATGAATCAAGAGAAATAATCAAATATTTAATTGAATTTTTTAGATTATAATGTTATTATTTATTTTCAGATATGGTAAGATCTTGAGGGGGTTCCCATTATAACGTATGGATAAATTCACAGGGAGGAATTTTAGTGCATCTCCTTTTGAGTTTCCCTCATCTTTGGTTTCATTTCATATGCTATTTATATTCTCATTTATTTAATGAAATATGATTGTGATCGTCCATAATAACTTACGTCTTCAAGTCAGACCTTAACTAACTACCTTCCACCAATTGTAAATCTTCTCACATCACTCTCACAACCTTTGAAATCTCATAATAATATCTCCGTTATTTGATACGAGCAAAAAAAATCTAAAATTACTTGGCTTTTGTCCCAAGAGAGGAGGAGCTTAATCAATCTCAAGAGGTACCAAAATCACAAGGGACAAACAATCCTAGAACCTTTTTAGTCAAATTAATTTTGTTTCAAGAGGTCTTATCATTCACGAACAAGGCTTCTTGAAATCAACTGGTAGTATTTGTTTTTCCTTTTGCTATTAAATTCCTTCACTTTGTTTTAATAAAATAGGATTTTGACATATTTTGTTGATAATTTTTGGATCAATTTGCCAGCTCTACAAATAATGAAAATGTAAATGTAATGTAAGGATGCTATCCGCAAAGAAACATTTCATGCTGCTTATTGAATGTATTTTTAAAATATGAAAATTAAATTTATATTTTCTTTGATGTTTACTTTTGATTAATTTGTTTTATGTATGTGTTTCTTCACTTATATAAATAAGCTGGCGGCAGATGTATAAAGACTATAAAAATGTACACTTGCATTTCATTATCACATAATCATCATTTTCTATTCTTTTGCATAATCATTTTTGCTCCAAAAAAGTTAATAAAAAAAAGAAAAAAGGAAATAAAAAGCTTTTAGCGGTTTGTGTATTTGTAAGATTAAAAAAAGCTCTTTTAAGAAGATCTAAATTGTTTAAAGGAGCCCAGGGCTCAAGTGGTCTATTATGATCCATTTTCTCAACTAGAAATTCTTTTAATTAAGTATTATTTGAATTATCAGTTATTTCTTTCTATATTTCCAAATTATCATTGCTATATTTTACTTAATTGCATGTGTTTGCAATTATGCATATCTACACATTGCTAAACTACCCTTACACTAGGATAAAATTTGGAACATCCACATTTGATGTGGTGCAAAATATTCATAAATTCTTAGATTGTTTTAAACAATTGAATTTTTTTTTTGATTGGTAATATAACGATCCCTATCAAAGAACAAAATTTGCATAACTAAAGCGATAAGAAAAAGGCCAAAACATGCTGTAATGACTTCTTGAAAAGAAAATAATTTGGGAGAAAAATCTTGTGCTGATTGAAACGAAAGAAATTTTAAAATTTAAATACAGCCTATGGGATAGCCTAAAACCTATAACTATAAGATAATTCTTTCACTAATGAGATCGAAAGAGTTCAAGTTGGGAGTGAATAATATATATAATGAGATTACTGATAGATTCAATCATATAGATGGAAGATTCAATAATCCTAAGAAATTGATTAAATAAATTTTTCAGGATGACTCAAAACTTCTCCCTAAATACATAGAAAATTTAAAGTCCTCTTTTAAACGTTTATGGTTCAATTATTGACCCATCTAGCATAGATATTTATCTTGGTGAGCTTGAACCTTCATAAGACTCCAGCTGTATGTTACACCCGTTTCTATTGAAAGTCACATATCTACGGCATTCTCAGAACCTTTGAGTGGTTTACCCTACATCCTTCCTTAGTAAGCTCATTGTGAACACCTTATTACACACCTGAGATGCATATAGCTACGGTTGTTTCAAATTATTAATCTAAACTTTTTTGTTATTTTTAAAAAAGTTGATGCATTGTTATCATTTGAGCTGGAAATATTTGCTATAACTTCAGATTGCCTTAGATTCCCAGCTTGTTGTTTCCAACTTTAGTGACATACTTGATTAAACTTTTTTTGTCGGGACTTTTTACACATCGTTTTCCCTATAGATGCACATATCTTTATGATCTCAGATCCCTAGCCTATCTTATTTGGCACATATGTTTGGTAGTCTATTGATGTGCCACCGCTCATATATGGCTTATAACTTAGATTAGATCTTACTCTTAGGCCTCCATTTTCATATTTTCTTCCCTGATTGTGCATTCTAGGCTACATTATGTTATTTTAATACTTAATATGATTGAGGTGACTCATCATTCATTGTAACATTTTATTTTTATCAATACTTTGTGTAATGTCTTTTTCACGTATGCTATGAGTTAATATATATAATGATAATATAGGTAAAACTTTTTTTTTAAATAGTATTCACTTCAGAAAATGATAGTATTGATTATTGTGAACTTAATTTATTATCTATGCATTCATAAATTATTTCATGACGAGTCACTTTTAGCCCCACTATTTTTTCTTAGTTTTGCCTCCAAACATATTCTCTACTCATATTTTCACTTTATGTGATATCTTGCGGTTTAACGGATTTATCAATGATTGAGATTGAAAACTAATCGTAGGCAAGATATATATGTCTTCTTAAATTATTTTTATCATCAATATTGCCTATAATTATAAATATTTAACTATTTGATGGACCTAAGCCTTTTTTTAAAATTGCACAATATGAGGCGCCCCTTGAAGCCTACCTCAACATTTTCTACAAAAAATGTAATGAAACTTACATGCCTCATTGTCTGAATATGAGGTGTACTCCTCACCCAGGCCGAGGTGGGCCTCGAGGCTCGTTGTCTTAAAAATGCATCAAATTTTTGAGTTATTTGTAATTTTTTTAAACAAAAATAAAAATGATATCAATGTACCTACTCTTTTAATTTCTCTTCTTTCATAAATTTATCACACCTCATAATCAGTTCGCCTATCCACGTAAGCTCTAGAATTGCTTTCTGCCCGTAAGGTTGTTGAGATGATAGACATTGGTGCGGTTGAATGCAACCCTTTGTCTGGGTCCCACCCATCATGATTCTTTGTTTCGAGTCTAAATCCTTCAAATTGGTCTACTCCTATCCCGAATTGCCCTCCATCCAATTCTGCTTACAGTTTCTTGTTTCAGCCATTTGAGTGTCATGTCATTCCTTCCAAGTACTGCGCTCGAGTCTGCTTCTCATTTATTCACTCGATCTCACAGCTTCAGATCTACCTGAGACAACGACGCTGCCTTGATGACGCATGAATTTTTCTGATAGCAACCGCTCACATCCGTTCTAAACAAAGTTGCTTGATCTCATTGCAGGCGACAGTGGGTTTGTGTCGGACTCCACAATTTTCTTTATTATTTTTTCAAGGGTCATGAACATCCCCTCAGAAATGCTTCTCTATTCCAAATCTGATTTGATTGACCTTTTTCCCTTGTTTTGCCTCCCAAACATCCTCTTTTTTGGTCGCCATGACTCATTGCATGGTTTTGAAACTCCACTAAAATCATGAGATTCAAAATTTTTGCATATCAGATTGACATGCGTGAAAATTTGGACACCGCAACCCCAGAATTTCTATACGCGGATCGATAGAATTATTGGAAGCTATGCAGAACTCGAAAAGCCACAATCCGAATTCTTGTATGTCACATATCTCATCACTTGTTTCCATCACAATTGATGTGGGCCTCCTTTTCGCCATGATCCCGATCGCATATGTCAATCAGGGGCAGCGCAAAACTCTTGTAAGTCGCGATTAGTTGTTCAACACAATGATCCCACACGTTGGCTTCCTTCGTGAAGTGACGTTACCTGTATGCTCCAATCCTCCTTAACAAGCTCGAATCACGATTGACTCACGAAGGGGCCATTCCTGCATACTGCGATCCTCCCCAACAAGCTTGAATCACGAATGGCTCGTGAAGGGACGCCGATGGAATGCCACAACAACTATATTCACGTCTATGAGCAGAAGATGGAAGATTTTGGTCTTTGCAAGCTGCGAGCCCCAACATTCCCTTCCCAAGTGTCGAAATCTCGCCGCTCTTCACAGGTGCAGAATACGATCCCTTTGTTCCCTTCCCAACAAGCTTAACTTGTGAATGTATAGAGATCGTTTGCGTCACTGTATGTTGTGATCTATCCTCCTAGACAACCGCGATCCCTTCTCCCAAACAATCACTATCTCGTTGGCCTTCCCTAGTGTCAC